ATTCGTGGTTAACTATTAAAATAAAAAACTGATACAGTTAGGTGAATTCATATGCCTGAAATTGGAGGCTTTGTAGAAGATCTCAAAAAAATTAAAAATCTAGGACTTTATAGAAAAAAGCATACATCTTGAGTAAGCAGTACAGCGTCTGGAAATAAAGCAGATAGTTACCTCTCAATGATAGAGAGAACAAGCAAATCATTTTAACGGTGCTTGGTGATGCATTTTCTGCAGTCTGGGATGCAGTGCTTCAGAAATTGTCAGGTGAAATGCAGAGATGCACAACTCTTTCAACAGGAGTTTTTCCATGGCTTACAGTGGGGAGATATAATCTTGTTAAACTATAGAGATGCTAGGTCTACTACTGAATTAAATTTTTGTGAGGCAAATATTCAATGGAATTAGCACTAAGAATTTACCTCATCTTCACCAAACTCTTTATATATGCTAAAAAAATTCTTAGGAACTTCCTGCATTTTTCTTTTGAAATTTTTGAAATAATGATTCTATATTTTTTCAAAATTAATGTTTCTTCCAAAAATATGTGTATTTTTCACTTTTTAGAAGTTGGGTCCATCTATATCTTCTCACATACTAGGGCAAATGTTTATTTATATGTATATTTTTAATTGATGTAAATTTATGAATGCCTTCATTATTAGAGTAATGAACTGAAAATCTCTTATACAGCTACATTTTGTTAATATTGAAAATTTTTTAGCATTTATACACAGTGGGGATGAGGATCTAATTCTGTTCCAGGACTACTAAGAATAGTAATTTGTGGCTAGCATTATCCTTGGTGATTTGATTGTACAGTCATTATAGAAACAATGTTTCTTAAAATAGACACTTTGTATTTTAAGAGAAAGCAATTAATGGCAGACTAGTCACTCAACAAGTAAATAGTTAACTTTAACAAGATGACGGATGTTAGTTATATTCTACCCAGTGCTGGAATATTTTTGCAAGGGATGGATCATCATGGAAATCAGTGATCAGTCAGTAATTGTCTGGAGTATACCTAGTAAAATTTATTTTTGGAAGATCCAGACATAGTTCTGTAGAATAAGAAATAAGGGTGGAATAAAATTAGTATCCTTTTCCAGTAACCTGTTGGTTTTTTAATCTATTGAAAAAAATGTGGCACCACTTTAATGCCACTCTGCAACCTTCAGTGAATCAAGATCTCCAGTTTTATATTTTTACTATTTAAATTACGCCTTACCCCTGAATGGGGGAAAAGAATCCCAAACCAAAACACACCTTTTCCTAATTTGTGGACTAACTTATCACGAATTTAAGGAATTTAGCATAATTATATGAAAATATGGAAGTGGACATTATAAAATGAGAAAAATCCTGAAAGTCTTCTAAATGGCTGCAGATTCTTAAGAGATCTTAGTTATTCGCAGGAAGTAGAAAATAGTCCCTAGCTTTTCAGTCTTCAGTCATTTTTATCATGCATACAACATGTGATGATGCTCATAAAAGAACCTGAAATTAGTTACTCTGATCAACCTGGCTTTAAGGTTTCCTTATAAATCAGAAAATATGCAGTAGCTCTGAAAAAGATGAATAAAGGATTTAGACAGTCTACTTCTCCCTTATGTTTGAAAGTAACCTTGAAGTACTTTTAGAATTATCACTGCCAGAAATAATGAGCACATATGTTGGCAGTGACAGTGCTTGATTGACAAGATATTGGCAACATATACACAATAAATATGAGGGAGCTTTCTTCTAAGTAAGAGAGCAGGATGGCTGAGCAGATATCTATTTATTTCTTTAACTAAAAATTATTTCATGATTGACAACTGGTTTCTTTAGCATGTTCATGATTTGTCTTCAGTGGTAAAAGCTCATTACTGCCTCGTTAGTGGACAATGCTACCAATTCTTCAGGTCCACAGGTATGTACTTATGCAGACAAATTCATTTTTCATGAATGTACATTTTCCAAATCTGAACAAGCAATCCATTTACATTCACACAGTCTTCCTTTTACCAAAATACCTCTGTAAAGTTTTGATCTAAACTGATGTTAGGCAATGAGGAAGACAGAAGAAATAATATGCCAGCATCTGTGAGTATTGGTATAATTCGTTTAATGAAAATAATTGTACAACTCTTTAAATTCATAATGTATTATATCTTCCAGACAAACTGACTCCCGGTTTTCAAGTGGGTTTTTTTCATAGACATAACTCTTCATAACAGTTGGTCACATTAATTGTGGCTGTTGTCATTTTTTTAAAAGTTACTAATTTTCCATTCAAGAACATGAGTTGTTCTGGTATACCACTGAAAACATTCTTCAGTAAGAGTCTATTTCCTATTTTACCTCATTCTCTTTCTGCACGGGGGAACGACAGTATGGCATGGTGTATATGTTGAGTGAGGACAGAGTAAATGCCTCTTATAAGGCATACTTGATTAAAAACAGTTTAGTAATTGTTCATTTCTTATGTAAAATAAAGGCAAAAATATAACAGTATAGCTTTCAACTGAAAGCTACAAAAAGACAATAAATTTAATTAAAAATACCATTTTCTTCACCTAAGCTTATTTCCTAGAATGGCTTTGTTAATGACTAGAAAGTAAGTAAAATGGGATCAATGGCGCATCTCCTCTTTGTTGTAATCATTACCGAGTACTTTTCTTTTTTAAACTTTTATCTCTCTTTAGTCTTTATTCTGCATGTCAAAATCTAGTCACTTCCCGGATTACAGGCTTCATACACTCCAAAATACATTTCAGTGAAATAAGTATTGCTAATTTCAACTAAAATGTGTGCCAGCTTAAATTCCTCATCCTATGAGATAAAGAAGTTTGTGGGAGAGAGAGGTTAGAGAAAAAGGTCAGAGTAGACTACTTATGGTGACTTCTAGCCTTTACAGAACAATGTATCATCAAATGAAATCACATAGACTCGTGACTTGTTCTACTGTTGGAAGAAGAAAGATTCAGGGGCAGATTACTGTCTCAGCATCTTTCACAAATAATATCCACTTATTCTAAGGTATTTTAAAAGGTGACTAGATAAATTAAAGTTGGTAATGCTGTAACTTCTCCACTTATTTCTTCCCTATTTCTGAGTAAAAAAATTTTAAAAAGGCAGAAGGTAGCTGATTTTTTGCTGCATTTTTTCTATACATATGTTGTTTTGAGTCTGTAAGTTTCTGCTTTGTCTGTGACTATTCTGAACTGTGCGACTGCTACGTGAGAGAGGAGAAAGGTGAATTTTCTATGAAGGCTGAGGATATGGTACGGTTTTTCTGATGCAACTCAGGACTTCGTAGTCTTGATCTACTGTTCTGCGGATTGCAAGTCATCTTCTTTCTATTAAATAAGTACTACTTATGAATTCTAAGGTATAAAACACATCAGAACTGGCAAGTGCTCATGTTACAGATGAAGTTTTTGGCATGCAGGTTAAGTTAATGAAATTTGTTTTGATGTGAATGTGTGTAGTTACACACATACATATAAATACATACTACATTGCAAATTGTGCCTTGACAACCACTGTGTTATTTTAAACAGTAAAGAGCCTAAAATTTCAGAATGGATTTCAGATACTGAATTAAATATTCTGTCATATTGTTACTCCTCTGCAGCAACTAGTGTGGTGTATGAAATATTGTGTTTAAAGGAAAAATTGACATTTTTTCTTGAAGAATTGCTTTAAGTTATCTTAATGTAATGCAGTGATTCCGTTTAAAAGCATCCCTGCATATAGAGATGCATGTTTACTTAATCTGTAGCATAGGTTGTTGATAAGCATAGATTAAGGAATAACAAATCTCCGTAAATTATTTACAAGGCTTTCTCACAGGAAACAGCATGATAGAAAGCTTACCTGTGTGTTACCCAGCTACCATGAAAACACATGAGAAAGAGAGCAGATACATGCTAGTTTAAAACATTTGCCTAATATGTCTCTGTGTGTGTAGCAGCTCTCCAAGTGCGGCTCCCGGTGAGCTGGCTCTCTGCACAGTATGAGTGCAGTCACTCAGACAGAGGCATGGTGCAACCTTCTGTCTTCATAAGCGCAAAATAAATCAACCCTTGAAGAGTTTTCAAGTTACAGAGCCAGAAGAACAGGAAATGATTGTTCTCTGAAACAGTTGTGTGACCTGATGCTCCTTGGATCTCGTGATATAAACTGATTCAGATGTTACTCCTCCACTTTTAAGCATAGCATTTTGCTTAGGTGCTTTTGTGCCTCCTTTGTGCCATTCTGGGGAGGTGCCTGGGGTTCCTTTTCTCTTCTGTGTTCCTTGAGATGTCTACCAGCCCTACCACACAACAGCTAAAAGCATGAACAGGAGCTGCAGGAGCAGTTGAGGGAGAGTACAGCAAGGCTAAAAGCATTCACAGGTGGATAGGTGATTTCCACATTCCTATGGCCAAAATGCAAGATGCCCTTTGGCAAAACCCAAGCTTCTGCTTATCTAAGGCTTAAAGCTTAAAATAGGTGCTCTGTGGCTGTAAGGAAGATTAGGTCTCTCATCCATGCTGGAGCGCTTTGGCTAAATTTAACTCTGGCTGTTGGAAAGATTTACGCATAGGATTATGGCACAGCTGCAGAAACTACTGCTATTGTTTTGGTTGGAGATTTATGAGACAACCTCAGGGGGAAAAAAAATTAATTCTTTTTTATGCAGACATACTAGTGTGGATGATGCCAGATCTGAAAGAAGGAGGTGCACAGCTGAACACTGTCAGGGAGCACATTGTGCAAGAGCACAGGGCAAAGCCAGTGCTATTACAGGAGGCCAGTGCACCCCACCCCTAGTCTATGCGCGACTAGAAACACGGCAGACAGGCATATAGCAAGCTTTACAACTTGCTTTCTTTTTTAAAAAAATGTCATTGCAATAAAATACTAAGCAGTTACGTTCTGCTATGTGAAAGAAGCGTAGCATTGTTCACATTTGGTGATGCATTTTAGTCATACTTTTATTTCAAGGTTTCCTGTCTCTGTTTCTCTTCCAGGTTCAGGTCCTTCGCAATGCAGGGGAAGAAGTGACCCTAACTGTGTCCTTTCTGAAAAGAGCACCTGCTTTTCTCAAACTGCCCCTGAACGAAGATTGTGCATGTAAGCCTTTATTACCTGGCTAAAAGAAAACTCAATTCAGAGCTCATGAACACTTGCAGCTTCTGAACCTACTGTGCATCGAGAGTGATTGACAGCAGCCTTTGTGGCCAACATTGCTATCTGACTATGAGCTGCTTGCATTGCAGTTTGCTTGAAAAACAGATCACCAGGCATTTGGCTGGTATGAACCAGCAAAGTTGCAAGTAAAACGGTGGAATTACATTAGTTTACAGTAACTCACATCCTGATGCAGTGTATTTAAAAGCAATTTTTCAGGAAGCATTGGATAACATTTTAGTTTGAAAGAGTTTTGTTTTGTAAATATGAAAATGAGATTTTGTGTGTATAGTTAGAGGTCTTAACTTTACCGTTTAAAATTCAGAGGCTTTGGTGGAGTTGTCTGTCTACCTACAAATAAATTACTCTGGGATAATTAGTATTTTGTTTAAGTCCAACCGAGTTTTAGTCAACTAGCCTCATGAGACACATATGGAGACAGCTGTCTTCCTTTAATTATATTAAATCATAAGTGTGGGTGCATAATTATAGACAGTTGCAATGTATCTTAGCATATTTATATGTCAGCCTGTGCCTTTTGTCACCACTGCTTTCCTTCTGCTTCTTGCTCCTAAGAGGGTAAAATGAATTGCTTAATTTTTAAGCAAAACAGAACAATAAATATTTGAATTCAATACTTTTAGCCTTTGATTTTAAGTTAGTAGGAACTGAATAAACTAAATTATGAAATAATAATTTTTGCAATCATTTGTTGAAATATTGTCTTTATCTTTTGCCTAGGTGCTACATTTTAATGAGACGAGAAAATTTAGAATACCATATTCTTAAATAAAAATGTATCCCAGTACATTTGTCCCTTTTACGAAAGGTTGTGGTACCACAGATTACCCTGGGTAATGCACACAAAGATGCATTTTCATCGATCCTATCACCTTACTTTTGAGGTATAGCACTGCAATTTCCTAAACTGTTGCAAGAACAGTTAGAACTGTGAACTTCATCAAGAGTAGCAAAAGCCTTATCTGATTAATTCCCTCAAGTGAAAATCAAGCAAGAAAGTACACACTTTCCTTTTATTATAAAATTTGCAAAACCCTTTGGTTTTTTTTTTATTTTTTTTTTTTTCTTACTAAACAGATGATTAAGTCTTTTAATCAAAGCATCAGGAGGGGGATTCCTGAGCCTCCACTCAGCTTAAAAAGGCATTCAGCTCAAACCAGAAGACAGATACTGGCCGAATGGAGAAAGTAATTGAATGTTAAATACAGCAAAACTACGGGGAGAAGGGGAATACATGCATTCAGATATACACAAATTTGAATCATAGCATTATAGATTAATGAAGATTTTTTGGTGTATTCATGTTTGTATTAGGTGCCCCCAGTGACCAAAGCAGTGGCACATCCTCTCCCCTGTGTGACAGCGGCTTGCATCTCAACTACCATCCCAACAACACGGTAAGAGCTTCTATTTCTTTGATGGAATTACCCAGGGGAATAATCATACTCTAATAGCGAAGTGGAAGTAACTAATAAAGGACAGCAACATGGGAGGAGCTCTACTTAACACTGGAGATAGACGGTTCTATATGGGGCAGAAAGATTTGCCTGATATTATGGCTGCAAATTAATCTATGACAGATTATTCCATCTGAGATTGTGCCTTGATAGATGTGATTACTATTTTTATCTGGGCAATGCAATAAGGATTTTGCAAAAGTTTTTTCTTCTAGATTGTTTCCAAAGCATAGGAGTTAAAATTATTAAAATGAAAATATTTAAAGAAAAGGTAAAAGACTTTTTCCAAATATTTTTCTATTAGGTTTATCCCATTTATCATCTAAAACTTTTGGAAAAGGATGATTTAGGTACATGCTTTTGTCTATTTTTAAGGTGAGAACATTTTACTTCTAGTAATTTACACTTAAAATCTTAATGAAGAATGATAGCATTATGGAGCAAAGTCTCTTTAGGATTAAATGCTACAGATGTCTGATCTTTAGTAAAAGATGCCTTTGAAGTGCAACAAGGGGCTTTTAATAGTTTTCTTAACCAGGAAATTAAAATTTACCATTATTTTATATAGTTCTAAAGGAGTTTTTGATGTGTACTTGGCTTTGTGATAGGTAAAAATACTCAGAAAAAATAAAAAGCACTGAATAAGTAAACCAATAACATAATTATTACAGCTATATTAAAAAAAAAAAAAAAATAAACCAAACAAGCAAACAAACAAACAAAAACCTACCAAAAATGTAAGCATTGTTTTGTAGACTTTGCTGGCTGGTTATAATTTCTGGTTTGTTTTATTGTTGTTTCATATTTCACTGGTAAAGGTTTTAAATAAGTGCCCAGAGACTTAAAAGTCAGTAGCACAGATTGTAAACCTGGTTATAATCTGGATAACGTTTAGGATTTATGCACTTCTGTGGTAGATGGAATTCATAAAAATGGGATAAAACCAGTAAAATGGGCATCTAATGCAGGTCAAGAAAAAAAAAAATATATATATATATCTCACGAGTTCAACAACATCAGACTTAGCTCAATAGTCTCTATATATATGCATGTATGCATATATGTATGCATGTAGAAAAGTTGCAGCAGATTCTAAATTTATTTTGCTAGTTACTTCATTTCTAATTTGGCTTTTAGGATAAAAACCGTGCTTCCCTTTGTGAATCCTATTTCTGCAGGTGTCAAAACTGATCTAAATTAGCTACAATTTCTGTTTAAACTTATAAGAATTTACTGAAACCAAATTTTTCTATCTCAGTTTAAATAATACAATCAGACATCATGAGTCTATAATTCACCCTAAATTAAATTCTTCTGATGAAGACCAGGGTGTGGTTCTTAGCTCGGATGTTCACCTGTAATGTGAATAGAATGATTCATAAAACCTAATCAGACCTCTGTATGAATTCCTAAGTTATGTGCAACTCTTTATGTCATGGTCCTTCCTTTTTCTGAGAATATTCTCTAGAATCCATTATGACTTACGGCAATAGTCTATTCCTTAGTTTATATCCTTGGTGATTCACATGAAGCAGACTTTTGACTCAGAATTTGGAGTAGACAGGACTGGTTTGGGGCTTTTGTCAACAGTTCAGAATTATGCAGTCTAAAGGCAGGGTTAACATTTCTATTGCAGCCAGATCTAGTCCTAGAGTTTGCATCTAAAGTTTTTGCCACAATTCAGCTTTTTCCTCAATTTCAATCACAGCTGAAAAAAGGTTCCTGAAAGCAGACAGAAAATGTTAAAAGTTCAAGACAATGTTCAAAACTATGTCCTAGCTTAGTCTTCCTAGCCAATCAGGTATTTATTTGGATTGAATCTATAGAATATTTCACCAGATATTCAATGTTTTAAATAAGTAAAGCTACTTATGAAAATCCTGCTGTTCAGATAAATTGATGTTCATAATGGTCTTTTATATACATAAAAGATATATGAATTTATATGTAAAAGTGAAGTTCAAGTTGGCAAAGCTTTAGAATTCCATAATGCAAATTACAAGGTGTACTTAATTTTTATAATATTTATTTTTTAGGAGATATAGGTAACAAAAAACATGAAGTCTGAGATTAAAAAATTGTAAATGATACAGGATCAGCAGGTAAAATTTTACTATACTAAAATACTGATATACTAAAAGTAGTACTACATATATTTCAGTGAGAATCATGCTGCTTCAGAAAAAGAACATCATCACTAGCACCATTTTGTAAAGCATTTTATAAAGAAAAAGATGTTTTTAAAAATAAATATTGATCATTTCACTTTTTATAAGCATTTCACGTTCAAATCTGTATTCTATAAAAATATTGGTGAAACTAGGCTGTAGATACTTAAATACTCATTCTTTGTTATATAAGTAATGTCTTGTGTAAATAGGTAAAAAAATATTAATCATAAACATGTAGTTTTGACTAAACAATCTTCATCACATGTTAAATCCCATTCACAATTACCAGGTTTTGAGGTGATTGAGGAGAAGAGACATGTATGTAAATGTGTATGGGGCCAGAGGAAACAACCGAGTTATGGTTATATAGTGAATAATTTCGAGATCTCCTTTATTTAGGGTACAGGTATAAATCTAGTAGCAGATGACGTGATACATAGTAAACATTCACTTCTATTCATGACTAGTCATTTCAAATAAAGAACACAATCTGTTTTCCCTAGGTTTTTAGAATACTGTTCCTCACACTTCCTCGAAGCATATTGATGTTGAGGTTTATATAGATTTATTTCACTTGTGAGAAAAAGTTCAGACTCTCTCCAGTGCTAGCTAAAACTGACACCAGATGATTTGGGGAAAGTGGAGCACAATGCCAAATGAAATATAAAGTCTTTGAAGTCTACCTCTTTCTTTCCAAATCTTCTGAGTACTTATAATGAAGCCCAAAATTGAGAAGGACTTTTTAATGTTTTTCAGGATACATTATCATGTTCTTCATGGCCAGCATCCCCAGGACTTAGATGGGAAAAAAGGTGGTGTGATCTCCGATTAATTCCACTTCTTCATTCACGGTTTTCCCAGTACCTTCCGGGATCAGATTTGTGCAGGTAAAGAAGTTCAAAAAGTTGAAACTTGACTTCTTGGTTGACACATAGAAGCCTTAGAGAGTTGTCTTGTTAGATGAATGGCATTATTAGTTCCACAACGGTTGTCAGAGATATGAAACACAGGAGCTTTCCTAAAGGTCTACCTAGGTCTACCTTGGCCCATATTCTGTTCTGATGTCATCCAGGACCAGGTATGTGGGGAAAATACACTTAGTGCTCAGCATCCTTCTCAGATTGAGATTGCACATAGGTCATCATATTTAGTAACTACCAATGCTCCTGTCCTCAAAAACTTCTTTCTGAGATGCTTTTTTTTATATCTTTGGTTCTTGTAATGCACTGTGACATGGAGCTGTGCAATGTAATTACGTTTTTAAAATGTATTTCCTTTTCTTTGTGTCAAATCTCTCACCTGATAACTTCACTGGGTGAAATAATCTTGTTGTTTGGGAGCAGCAATTGTTGGCTGCCCCATGAGGAAGGCGAACAAAGAGCAGAGGGTGACAGCAAGGCTGGACAAGGCAATGTCCATGCAGACAAGGGCCCTGCCCAACCGCCCTGAGTGGAGGAGAAGAGCAGGCCCAGGGGTGGTCTTCAGATGAGTCCATCATAGTGTGGTGGGGCTTGGGTCCTGCTGGGAAATCAGCCCACAGTTCAGATCTGAATCAGTGGGATACATGTCCCGGCACAGGCACAGCCGCAGCCAAACTCAGACGAGGACCAAGGGTAAGAGACTGAGCTGATACACAGCTCCTGAGTGAAGGGGGGGACACATCCCCTACTCAGTCTCTTTCACAGCAGCCTGATCACACATCCCATGGTCACGCCATGGCAGAGCTGGCCTCAAGCACAGGTATCTGGGCACCCAGGGGGAAGAGGAGGGTAGACTCTGGGCTAAATAAGCATTCTTGATTTGCATTTTTATAACTTCAGATTACTGTCCTCTGCTTTCCAGTCTGAAAGATCCCTATTGTTATTTCCTTTTAGGAAACACCTTCCATAGCTCTAATCATCCTTGTTATTCTCTGTTGGTTTTGTAATTCAAATATATCTTCTATGAGACAAGGTGATCAGGACTGTAAAGAGGATACCTCTTGATTTATATTAGGACATATTGATGTTTTTTTTTTTCTCCATTCTTGTCTAATATTTCATAATATACTTTTGACTGTCATTGAGCACTGAGGTGATGATTTTCAGAGCACTGTCTGTAGTAACTCGCGTATTTCTTTCCTCAGTGTTTATAGGTTCTTTGTTACTTACTTATAGCTAAGGTTATTTTTTCCCATATGTGTTACATTGCATTGATTAACATTTAATTTCATTGCCATTTTGACTCCCAGCTACTGGGGAAACTCTCCAAAGCCCATAGTCAGGCTGAAATTTATTATATCATATAGACCTTCAACTTGTCATCATTTAATTTCATATTATCCTAGTAAGTCAGAAGAAATCAGAAAAGAAGACAGAATATTCTGGAATGATTACAATTTTTCAAGTGTTATGCATTTAAATATAAAAGAAAGTACCTACAAAATCTAACAAGGCGTAGTATAAAAATAAGATCATACTTGTTAAAAGGTTTAAATACCTAGGTTTTGTGTGGATTAATTTATCATCTTTATATACAGAAAATTCTGTGAGTTCTATCTTGTAAGTCAGTAACTGGAGGACAGCTGTCTACAGTTATAGAGCATGTTTCTCCATTACTTCATCTTCTAACCCATCAGAAACATTAACTGTTAAAATAAGCACAAAAGACTTATAATGTGTGAGACTGTGAGGCCTTACTAATTGAAATAAACTTTGGATTTGCTATGTAGTCTTCTTGTCTGCCAGCTTAGATGTGAGTCTGGGAAGAATAGTGTGTTACAGAATCATAGAAACATAGAATGGTTTTGGTTGGAAGGGACCCTAAAGATCTAGTGTCAACCCCCCTGCCATGGAAAGGGTCATCTTCCACTAGACGAGGTTGCTCAAAGCCTCATCCAACCTGGATTTGAACACTTCCAGGGAGGGGGCAGCCACAGATTCTCTGGGCAATCTATTATAGTTTCTCACCACTCTCACAGTAAAGAATTTCTTCCTTACATCTAATCTAAATCTACCCTCTTTCGGTTTTAAACCATTGCCCCTCGTCCTATCACTAGACTCCCTGACAAAGAGTCCCTCCCCATCTTTCCTTTAGGCCCCCTTTAAGTACTGGAAGGCCGCAATAAGATCTCCCTGAAGTCTCCTCTTCTCCAGACTGAACCACTCCAACTCTCTCAGCTTGTCTTCATAAGGGAGGTGATCCAGCCACCAAGATGATAATCTTCAGGGCCCTCATCCAGACCTGCTCCAACAGGTCCATGTCCGTATTTTGAGGGGTCCCAGAGCTGGACACAACACTCCAGGTGGAGTTCTCACAAGAGTGGAGTAAGGGGGAAGAATCGCCTCCCTCAACCTGCTAGCCATACTTCTCTTTTTGCAGCCCAGGATATGCTTGGCTTTCTGGGCTGTGATCACACATGGCTGGTGCACAGTCTGTTTTCCATCCAGCAACATCCCCAAGTCCTTCTCCACAGGGATGCTCTCAATCCACTCATCACCCAGCCTTTATTTTTGCTTGGGATTGCCCAGATCCATGTGCAGGACCTTGCACTTGGCCTTGTTGAACTTCATGAGGTTTTCATGGGCCCACTTCTCAAGCCTTTCAGGGTTCCTCTGGATGGCATCCCTTCCATCCAGCATGTTGACCACACCACACAGCTTGGTGTTGTTGGCAAACTTGCTGAGCGTGCGCTCAGTCCCACTGTCCATGTCTCCAACAAAGATGTTAAGCAGCACCGGTCCTAATACCAACCCCTGAGGAACATCACTCGTCAGCGGTCTCCACTTGGACATTGAGCTGTTGACTGCAACTCTTTGACTGTAACCATTCAGCCAATTCCTTATCCAATGAGAGATCCATCCCTCAAATCCTCGTTGCTCAAATTTAGAGACAAGAATTTTGTGTGAGACAGTATCAAAACCTTTGCACAAGTCCAGGTAGATGATGTCAATTGCTCTTCCCTTATCCACCAGTGCTGTAACCCCGTCGTAGGAAGACGTTGAATTTGCCAGGCATGGTTTGCCCTTAATGAAGCCATGTTGGCTGTCACCAATCACCTCCTTATTTTCCATGTGCCCTAGCGTAGTTTTCAGGCGAATCTGCTCCGTGATCTTGCCAGGCACAGAGGTGAGACTGACTGGGCTGTAGTTCCCCAGGCCTTCTTTATTTCCCTTTTTTAAAATGGGGGATATGTTTCCCCTTTTTCAGTCAGCAGGAACGTCGCCAGATTGATGGAACTTTGCCGGATTGCCACATCTTCTCAGACATGATGGGTAGTGGCTTAGCCACTTCATCTGCCAGTTCTGACAGGACCTGCAGATTCATCTCATCAGGTCTCACGGACTAGTGCACCTTCAGGTTCCTTAGATGGTCTCAAACCTGATCTCCTACAGTGGGCAGTTCTTCATTCTCCCAGTCCCCACATTTACCTTCTGTGTCTTGGACACTGTGGCTGGAGCACTTGCCAGTGAAGACTGAAACAAAAAAGACATTGAGTACCTCAGCCTTCTCTGTATCCCGGGTGACCAAGTCTTCCAGAGAGGGCCTACATTTTCACTAGTTTTCCTTTTATCACCAACATACCTGTAAAAGCTTTTTTTCTTGCCCTTGACTTCCCTGGACAGCTTTAATTCTCTCAGGGCTTTGGCCTTCCTAACTTGACCTCTGGTTACTCAGACAGTTTCTCTGTATTCATCCCAGGCTACCTGTCCTTGCTTCCACTCTCTGTGGGCTTCCTTTTTATGTCTGAGCTTGTCCAGGAGGTCCTTGTTCCTCCGTGCAGGCCTCCTGGAGTTCTTACCTGACTTGCTCTTTGTCAGGATGCAATGTTCCTGAGCTTGGAGGTGGTGGTCCTTGATACCTTCATGGGCCTCTCTTCCATCTAGGTCTTTATCCCATGGTACTCCACCAAGCAAATCCCTGAAGAGGCCAAAGCCTGCTCTCCTGAAGTCCTGGGTAGTGAGTTTGCTGTGCACCCTCTTCACTGCCCTAAGGATCTTGAACTCCACCATTTCATGGTCACTGCAATCAAGGCTTCCCTTGAGCTTCCCCACCAGCCCCTCCTTGTTGTTGAGAACAACATCCATCATAGCACTTCTTGTTGTCTCCTCTATCACTTGGAGGGGGAAGTTACCATCAATGCATTCCAGCAAACCTCCTGGATTGTTTATGCGCTGCTGTGTTGTCCCTCCAACAGGTATCAGGGTGGTTGAATTCCCCTTGTGCTATATCCTGACGTTTCATCAGGAATTAGCAGTTTAAAATTTCCTGTTCCTCCATTCAAACACATGTAAAATTGCCTAGTTAATACAGAAAATCTTCATTAATATTTCTGGAAAGACTGCTGTGTGAAAGAACCTCCCCAGTATCTGTTGTTATGCTCACCCTTCCAGTGTTTCTATGGGTCCTTAGGTCAAGTGATACCATCTGCCCTCAGGGGTGGATTTCTTATCTCCCCCAGAAACAAGAGGAAGAGGAGTATTCAACCTCAGTTTAGGGTTTGTGTGGGGTGAATTTTATTGTTTCTCATCTGAGCCTTTTTTCTTCTCATTGGTTCTCAGCAAATATTTGAAAATTTCACAAAAGCCTCCCACAACCTCAATTAATTCTAAGGGCTGTTGTTTCTTAAAAATACACTATCCAGGTCTGCCAGCCTTTTTCATATTCACAGAGCTGAAAACAGAGCAGGTTCGGCAATAGTTGTTTCATCACTAGGTAATTATGATGCTAAAAACAGCCTGCAGGTTTTGATTAATAATAACAAAATCATACTTACTGGGCTGTGTGATCCTTGTTCTATTGAGGAACAACAGCTGGCCCAGGGAGTCAGGGTGTAAACCAAAGACTACAGTGACTTATTGGCTGAATTGAATTGGAACAGGATATAGTCACCACAGATGCAGGAGTTTTTTTTTATTAAATTCTGTGAAAACCTTCAGCTGAATGTTGAGTGGTTGAAATAGAAATAATTAAGGGCATGAAGCATAAAGGGCCCAAAATCATAACAGTCAAATCTGAAATCTGTTCTGCTATTTATTTCCGATAAGATATTGAATTGAATAGAACTACTCACATGGAAAATTAGGACATATTCAGCTATTCATAGGTCTAGGGGTTTAAAATTCAGTCTTCTGCATCAATAAAACAGAAGCTTAACGTGCACATTACAGAACTTGTACATTACAGAGAAAGATTTTTAGGTAGTAATGTTATTCCTGACATTTGAATTTCCAGAAAATAAATTTAAAAGAATATTCATAAAAAAAAAAAAAAAAAAAAAAAAAACAACACCTGAATTCATACTCAAACCTTGTCATAAAAAAAAAACCAAAAAAAACAAACAAACCAACCTGAATTCATACACAAATCTTGAATATCTACTCTGATAATTATTTTGTGTATCTTTCTATGCTGTCTGATATGAGGCAGTAAGAGTACTTAAATGAAACAAAAATGCAGTATAAATATGACAGAGAAAGAGGCATTTTCTTCCAAAAACATAGAACCAACATTTTATGTTGTTAGCAAGACAGTTTTTAAGAGTCTTTTAAATTAGTGTAAACGTTTTAAAATCTGACTCCCTTTCAAAATTTGTTATGAGAAAGGTAGATTATTTTTAAAAGAGACTGCTATAAAGAGCAACATTAAGGAAAGTATATTGAAAATCATATAAGAAAGCAAGATTAAATGGAATGTAATTAATTAAATTTTTCTGTATTTAATATTTACAAGGCTGTTTTCACTGTATAAATCCCAATAACTTTTTATGATTTGGAGTTTGAGAAGGCTGGCATGGAAATACATCATATAATTATCACATACATTATTACACCTCATAATCATATTCTAGTTTTTCTAGCGGGATGCTTGAGATGCATGAATTCCAGAGGGTATTCATATAAAATTCCAGAGGGCATTCAGGTTAATCTTGGAAAGCTTATTAATTTCAAATATAACACTTGAATTCTGAAGACAGAGAACCTGAGATGTGTAGTTGAATAAGAATTCATCTGATCTTAACTTTTTTGCTGTATTATAAAGTGATTAATCTACTATTTGTTCTATTTAATACAAACCACATTTAATACATTTTTTTTTTCAGGATTGTGTGGTGTTATGGAGTTTGGCTGGTAGAATAATAAAATAAAATACTATTACAATAATCTAAGGCTAAGTATATCTACTGCTCACACACATTCAGAAGTAATTTATTAGGTATCCATGCATTCTTACTGTCTGTGCTTATTGGTATTTGGGCAAGAACATTCTGGATGAATGGTTTTGTATGTGCACAGATCAAATACCTAGGAACAGTAGGAACAGTCTGATGCCCCACATGTATCAGATTCACTGGTTTTGTAGTGTAAGGGAAATTTGTGCATCAGGATTGAATCTGGAACATACTGGGTTTTCTTTGCTTGTGCAGATTGGTGTCACACAGTAACAGATTCTTTGGATTCCTACTTTGGTTTACAGTAGACTGAGTAGAAAGAAAGGGAGTCCTGAAAATAATGCTATTTTTCTTAAAAGGATAAGAAACATATTTGAACATCATGCTATGCTCTTTATATAAGGTCTTGTTTTGATTTTTATTCTGGAAGAATTTACTGTTTATATTTGTAGCCATTTAAAATAAAAGATACAGTAAATAAATGGTAGCTATATTACCTGAAGATGCTTTAAATAAATCTTCCTCAAAAACTTTATCAGAATTACTGTGAAAATGAGACATTGAAAGAAGTAGCTCTCAATTTATACCTTTGGGATTTTAAAGAAAAATCACTACCCATGTGAAAAGGCAACTAAACTGATAAGTTAGCTGATGGATTTAGATAAACCACTGGTCTCTGCATGAACACGTTAGGATATTATCTGCTTTATCCTCCTGTAAGTGTTAGTTCTCGTGATGGGACTCTGAAAGCAAAGGCATGGCTCTGATTCATTTTTAATGCTTCTCCTAACTGAAGGAAAAGCCTGTACTTGACACTGATGCATCAAAGACCTTTATGGTAGAGATACATGTTAGCTCTACATTCTATACAACTAGAATATAATATCAAGAGGTAAAAAAAAAAAAAAAAAAAGCAACCTTTGCAGAATGGATATCAGTCTTGAGATGTCAGAAACTGTCATCAGTAATACTCAGTTTTACACTGCAGATAGCATTCACTTTGCCTGAGCCATTCTCAAAGAAACTGAATGATGTACTTAATTTTAAACCATGAATTGATCGCTACTGGATGGGTTTATAGCAGATTGCCAGCAGTGGAACCTGGTATTCTCTGTATATTCAGTTATCTCTTACTCTGGGGTATGGATTCATATTGAGGTTTTTCTGGTTCTGAAGCCAGAGACCTATGAGCCTTCCAAATGCTGTTAGCCAAGAAGGCTATTAACTAAAGAAATTAAGTCTGCTACTGCTTTAACATATGAAAATTTTCTCTTATTCTGTATTTGCTCATCACTCAGCTGTGGAAATTCAGTCTATAATGCATGACAGATTATTTTGCAAGTGCCCAGATTGGTGCTGGGATAGAGACACCCAGGTGACAACTGCTTTTGTCATTGGATGTCTCTTGGCATTCCAGTGTATTTTGCTAATGATCTTATATTCAGAAATGCAGTTGGAATGATCAGTTTTGGATTCTCCAGCTTTTCTATCAGTAGTTTAGAAGAGGACCAAAATTTTGTAACCGAGAGCAGCCAACAAGGGGCATCCAGACAGGGATCTTACTGTGTTTAAACAATGTATTAGAAAAATGAAGCAAAAGTTGTTGAGAAAAAGGTATTGGTATTCCACTGAATTTTGCAAATGTTTATCTATAATGTCCAATGCACACTTTCCTTTTCTGTAATCTGCACTACTAAAGTCTTAACTCTTTGGTATGCATCAGCTATTTCACTTATTTAGCTGCTGAAGTCACACAGTACTGGTCAAGTTTCTGCGGAGCTAGTCTATGTAATTTTTCTATAGCTTTAGGGAAACTTAATATAGTCTGAGTTGACCTTTTAGCATGATCGCTTTAATATGTCAGGTATTTATAAAACAGGAAAAACAGCAATTTATCAGTGTTCAGTGGCTGACCTTCGTTGTAGTTGAAAGAAAAGCATTCCTACAAGTATTGTTAAGATGATATGCTAGAACAGATGAAATTTTCTTCTGACCTGATCTGTTATGACATGTCTATAGGCAAAATGCGTTCCAAGTAATTGCTGTGGATGGGGTTTGCAGTGGAATAATTCAGTGTCTCTCTGCTGAAGACTGTACTGACTGGCTACAAGCAATAGCAAGTAACATTTCCAACCTTACAAAGCACAATGTAAGTATGGATCCAAGTAAGCCAGAAGGTTTCCCAATCATATTTGATTATAACTGTCATAAAAGCCTAATGGGTTCACACAGAGAATTATCTGCATATAAACAATGCTTGAGGCTGTCTGAGAGAAGTCAACTCAAGTTTGTCATCAAATCAGACTTTGCGAGAAATCATTGAATGGGAAAATATTCTCCCCTGCAGTCATATAGTTCACTTCATCTCTATCAGAGTTACTCACTTCTTAGCAATACCAGGTGGGATTAGAAACAAAGACCAGACACACATGAGAAAACCAGGTGTGATGGGTAAGCATACATAACAGAAAAAATTATGTACTTTCTTGATAGTTTAAGAAAACACATCTATAAAAAGACTGGTATAATCAGATCTGAAGTAGATATTAGGTCTATTTAGGTATCATTTAACACAAGGAGAATGGCAAGGTGCTTCTGTGGTATAGATACTGATGTTCATTATCAGCAAATATTAAATGCATTTATCCTTCATGCACTGTACTTTTATGATCTGATCTTGTGGGTTAGATATCTCTTTTTATTGAAGTAAGAATAAATGTTATGCAAAAGTTTTGCCAAACTACTTGTGAGCTCGTTTGAGAGGTCTTTTAGACTTGCCTCAGATGTATTTTGCATTTAATAGATGGCATGTAGCTTTTCCCGTAGAAGTCTATATGATACCTTTCCTGTTTTTCCTCAAAAAATACTGAAGACATGGGTAACACCATTATTTTGAACTGAGTTACAACAAGTAAGCCCTTGAAGACTTAATTTATATTTTCTCAAATTTCCTTAAATCTGCTTTAGCCTCCCAAACCTGCCTCTGAATTTGCTTTTGTTTCAAGTACAGGGAACACAGCGAAGGAAGTTGTATTTCTTGGAGATTTATATTCAAGATGCAAAACTGTGTTCCATCTGGCAGCAATATGTAAAAGTCATTGTATTATAAAAACTTGACAGACATGAATTCATCCACCATCTGCAAGCTTCCACGCAATACAAGCCAACTTTATGGCTATTTATTCATCCTTACAATTCTGTTGCCGTATAGAACCTCCCTTGTCTCACTAGGCATCCTGACAAATGAGGGTTCTGATTTTTTTCTCTTGCCATCTTTAGTTCGGACTATTAATAATTCTTGCTACCTAAAGCAGTGTGTTTACTTATAACAATAGATAGATGCACCTAAATTTTATCTGATAATACTTTATGTATCTCTGATGAGACTATAATTATGGTTGTTTGGTGTAACTTTAATTTTGGTAATGCATTGTTGTCTCATGATATATTTTCAGTTTAAAAATGAGTGAAGTTTATAATTCTGCAATAGGTTTCATAAAATACAGAAACAATGTATCAGATGTTTTATAAAATGGAAATAGTAAATTATACAACTGCTATGCCAATCTTTGTATTTATGTTGTCCTAGAGACATCCTGTAAAATAACAGTGAGAACTAGGACCTAGGACAATTATCCATGAATTGGTTTTTAGAACTGTCCTATTTGTTCATAGCCCATATGAGCTTATGGAAATCAATGAGACTGTCTTCTCTGTAATATACCTTTTTTTTTAAAATTGTCGGTTGCCAGAAAGAATTAGTTATTTGACAGCGTATGGGGTGAGTATAGAAAGCGTTGGAAACACAGAGGTAAAAAACCCCCAAACTGTTGCTTGAAACAATGATTAGACGTGATTAGAGGTCCCTATATTTTCTTTCTTTACAAAATGGTTATTGACATACACATACTGTTGATGTTAGCATTTTTCCTCTGAGAGAGACATTTACTCACAATCATACTCCCTTCCTGTGGCATCCAGTACCAAAGAAACAGTGTATAAGATTTTACTTGTACTTTTGGACAAATTGACTGATTTTTAGTTTCTATTACATTTCTATCTATGGGTTATGGAAAATAATTTGTTCCATTTAAATAACATGTAGCTGATAGAAATGTTAACTTACTCTTTCTCATCTCTACCCTTTGAAAAAGAAGGAAGCAGATGAAAATAAGACAGACTATAAAAGCTAAATTGTTTCTGAAAGCATTTCCTTTACTAGTGTGTCAAGTTTGGACTCTAGATTTGGGTGGGATTTATTTTGCCTAAATTTAGTTGTCTTAAAGCAGAACATTTGAAGAGTGAGCCTTATGATTTACTTTCAGCATCTGTTTTATGATGAGATTAATTCCCTCAGGGCATGTCTTTCTTTCCTTTGACTGGTAAGGGACTTTAGGGTGGTAAGTTCAGACTTTGATAACTAAGGATATATGTATATACTGTCACTGGTCTCTTTGAGGGGCCAGAGAGAGTTTCTCTGAATAAATCTGCCAAAGAAATGCCTGGTTATTTTGACAAAAAGCATACTAGTCTCGACCAGAAAGTCTGAATTATTTTACTTTTTCACACACAAGCTGGCTGAAAAAATTCATCTGATGGTTCAAACCCCAGAAACTTGTGTGAGAATAGCATGGCTTTCTCTCCCTATGCTCCCATATGTATTTTACAGTTGTGAAATACAAGTCCCTGGCTTCAAAATCTCATGTTTGAATCTATAGCTCAGTTAAATTTTTGTAAGGATAATGTCAAAATATTTTCTGTCATGATGTAATATGTCCTCATCTGGCACAAAGGTGATGTGACTTAACTGCAGAATTTTCAATATAGCCAGTATCTACCAGAGAACAAGAAGATAACAAAAAGGCAGGAGTAGAAGCAAAACCAAAACATCTTGATATCATAAATTTTGAAAGGAAGTGTTGCTAACTGAATATATGTAATGGAGGCTGGAAGATCATGTCTTCAGGCAAACACGTTTTGCCTGTAGCGGTTAGACTATCATTGTATCAAAAATTGCATGAGGTAAAGCTTGTATTATTATGCAACAAGGTAGTTACAGTTTTAACGTAGAGATTCTGACTATTAAAGAAGAGATTAAATAAAAATATCAATATGTTGACTGATCTAGGTGACTTCATTTAAAATTTTCATCAAGAGACAGACTTCAGGTGTGCACTCCTTTTCTTCATGTTCAGTAAAGTGGAACTAGTGTCCTCCACTGGTTGTAGAATACTGAGGGTGATACCGCTAATTATAATATTTGTAGCTCCCCAGAAACCATGGGAAGATTACATATGAGATTAAGTACATCCCTTTAAAATTACAAAACATTAATTGGCTTATATATTGGTATGCAAACAAAATGAATGCTATAGAAATGCACGGCTGGAAGTGACTTAATATCACACTATAATTGATGATGTGATGAATCCATGAAGACTATTAATTTCTGAAGATGGGGTCCTCTCCAACTTGAGTCATTTGACCTGCATCTGTATTAAAAGTTCATGAGTTTTAGCAATATCCTCAAAAAACAGAGGGGTTATATTAAACCCAAAGTTAGTCTAAACAATCCTGAAACTGAAGTTCATGGGCTGAAATGTGAATGTGTTAAATTGAACCTAGACTTGAGAACTCTTATTCTTCTGTGAACTGGTGAGGTAGAAAAGACTTTTACGTCCTTTTGTTGCCAGTTTGTATGGCAGGCCAAAGATGATTAGAAAGGGAACAAGTGCTGCTTCTACCTTTCCCTACCCATGCTCCAACTAGGACTTTTCGGTTCTGCTGTTCCAGTTCAGCTATGAACTATTGGCTTTTCTATCAACTTTTAAACTGTATTAATTTCTGTGGTAATTGATACTGATTTCTACTCTTTACCATCTATTTTGTTAAAGAATTTTATGATGATAGTGTCCAGTAAGTCACAACTTTTAAAGAAACAATGTTCTAGAAGAGTCCAAGAAAATACTCCAAAATCATACTCTGTGTAAAGATCCACCTGTTGCCAATACATCCCTAATTTACGTGTTGCAATTTTCAAGGGACTCAAAGGCAAAGTTTTTAATGGCTTTAGCATGGATGAGATTTTACCCAAGGTCTTCTTCAAAGTTGACTCCATTGAAAATTATTTGGATGCCACAATATTCTGTTCAAGTGCTGCCAAAAGGGAAAAAAAAAAAAAAAAAAAAAAAAAAAAAGGACAAGCTTTAGGTAAGAATAATAAATAACTACATTGCAGTTAGCATCTTCTAGGTTATAACTTAATGGAGTCTTTGGGAATTTATCCTCCTGAGTCAATATTTGTCATTCTTGCCCATTGCTTTCTCTGTGGCAGATTTTTATATAGTGAGTGCAATGATACTTCTTTTCCCTTTCCTCTTCCATCATTTACTTGGGAGACACTGCAACAATTGCACATTTATACTTCTTACCTTGAAGCTAACACTTGACAGAGAAGAAACAACATGAAATTTATCAGACAAGAATGGCAGGCAACTGAGGTAACATTGCCAAGCAGGAGGTGACAAAAAGTCAGTTTTAAATTTATCTTGAGAGTACCCATGAGATCTTGCAAGATTTAGTTCACAGTGACTTCACTTTATTCCATCAAGTATATTTTCTGGGTAAAAAAATATGTATCTGTATAATTAATGAGGCATGGATACGTTGATGGTAGAAACATGGCAATAACATGAAAGCAGTAGGATTAAGAGGTCTACAAATTGAGTATGTGTTTGGCACAATGTATGTGTTTTCCTGAACTTAAGCCTTTATTTTGAGTGAAGTTCAACTGAAATCATGGCTTTAATCTTATGCTTAGAAAGTAATGCCTAATGAAAGAAACTGCTGCCAAGATGACAAATTTATTTGTCCTTACTTTCACTGGGGAAAAGTGAACAATAATACCTTATGTTTACAATGCTGAAGTCTGGGTAATTGTATAGGGATTCTGTAAGTCACTGAATAGAGGGAGAGGAAAAAGTACAAAACAGGAGAAAAGAAAAAAAAAAAAAAAAAAACAAACAAAATAGAATATGTCCTGTTCCACTTGTGGAAAATATTACAGGACTACATTCAGTGTTTGGTAAATTATTGAAATAAATTAGTAGTACATGTCTCATTGTGCTACCACCAGTAAGAAAGTACTGT